ATTCTATCTCTGCAAACTCTTTCACATCTGTTTTCTCCTTTCTATTCCAGCATATTATTTTTGCTTAGGCCCTTTCACCTTATGCTTGAACCACTGCACTTGGTTAGTTTCACTCTTTCATCTTCTGTCTCGAGATGCAAACTCTTTAGCCTGTGGTTCAAAGGCCCCATTGGTCTAGGCTGATCTTCCTTCCCACCCTGGGTCACCCCACTCTGCTTTACAGAGGCAGGAGGGAAGAAGCCATATGCTACCATAGCTGAAAGGTGGAGCTTTGCACCCCTGAGACCTGTGCTTCCTAATGCTGTCACTCAGCAGTGGTATGACTTTGCATAAAGTACTTCACTTGATTGCCCTGGGTGCCTCATCTGTAAAGTGGGGAATGAATATGCTAATAATAAATAAAAATTTGAAGTAAAAAAAAAAAAAAGCTGTATACTGTAAAAATAAAAAAAGAGTCTCTTTTAATAGTATAATTGTGAGGTGAAATGAATTAGCCTTTAAAAGCACATAAAAAAGCATTCCGTTAATGACATTTATGAGTCTTGTCTAAACGCATCTTATTTTCTCACCTTCACGGCATTGGCTCCCAGCACCGCCTGTCTTCCTCACTCCCTGTTTCCTGACCCACCAGTTAAAACTATACCCATCCTTCAAGGCTTATCTCAAATGCTACCTTCTCCATGAATAATTCTTGAATAAATTTGCCCACCACAGATCCCTCCTTCCTCTGACCTATATTATTTATAAATTATTCATTCCCGTCTTATATCTCTTCTCACATTCTATTTTGTATTACAGCTAACTGTATTTATGTCTTATTTTCCCTTCTAGATTTTAAGGTCTTATGGTCAAGGACCATATTCTCTTTGTCTTTGCTAAAATACCATACGCCACAATGCTTTGCGCATTATAGATGCTCTATTAATATTTATTGAATAAATGATTGAATAGCATATTAGTTCTCTTTCTCTAATGCCAGATTTATAATTTATTTTTCAACATAAGGAAATATTTCCTTTAAAGTTCTAAAAGATTCAGAAAGCTTCGTACGACTATGTCTTCTTCCCCCTTCTTTAAAAATGTATTTTTTCTATTTGTCCTTCATCTAGTCACTTTAATAACTACTGCAGTTATTATACTTAGAGAAGAAAAGCAGCAGTATAATTTAAAACATATTTTTATTTGGCCTTCGAATAGGTAATATTGATGGATTTACATAGCCATAGATTTATTTGGGTGGCTTCTCCTCCTCCTTTCCCACCTCCTCCTGAATTTAGTGAAGTAATCACTCTATGTTAATTATTTTAAGAAAACACACTGCAGCCTGAGAGACACAGATGAGGTAAACCACCTTTAGTATTGCACCATCTTTTAGTATTGCTGCCAAAGACATGAACATTTAAACTTTATTGACATAGAATCAAGGTTTAGTCATAGACTTTTCCTCATTCGAAGGTGAGGACACGGAGTTCTGCGGGGGTTAGATGACCTTTCCTAAGGCCCCTGGTATTTCCTTATAGAGCAGAGTCTGGAATCCAGTTCCCCAGGCATCCAGTCAGGGTTTGAACTGCGTGATCCTAAGTGGTGAAATACTCATATGTAAAGACTGAATTTTAGAAAGTAACGTTGTCTTTGAGGTAAAATATGATCTAAGTTTCAGAGGGCATGCATTATTTTGTGTTTTACTTTGGTGTGTTGATTCCTGTTTCTGTATATATTTTAGTTATGGATATATCATGAATTTCCAGCATGAGTTTACTTTACGGTGTCTGGAACCAGCTGTTCTAATATTTATTGCATGAAAATTTTGACCCTAAGGTATATCCTTGGTTAAGCATGTTACATAACTTTTAGATGTAAATGCATTTAAATTTTAGTACAGATTTTTAAAAAATTTAAATGAAAAGTTGAAAATTTTCAAACAGAAAGCATATAAAAAAAACTACAGTGATACTTGACTAAAATAGGTGACTAAAGAAATCCCTTCTGGGCACTATGCTGGAATTTTCTTTACTATCAAGTAAAAATGTGTTTTTTGACTTTGATGAGTAGACAGGAGGCCAGTTAACTCATTCTTTGGCTCTCTACCTTTCACTCTTGGAATCTAAAGCAGGATTAATCCTGTTTTGGAACTAATTCTGTTACTCATAATTCAAGGGAATTTAAGGAGTCTGAGGTAGAGTCTGAGTCTGTAGAAAAAGAAAGGCCAGCCTCAAATCACCCTAACTGCTGGCCCAGCGCTAACAGGCAACTTGAGTCTTCTTACCGCCTTGCACGTCAGTTCTAGAAACTGAGACTGCTGTCATGTGACTCCTGGACGGGTGCTGCTTTCTGTCCACTCCCCTCCCTTCTGTCTCCACTCTCTTTCTGATTCGTTTCATAGTTTAGTTGTGTTTGTTCTTGTGTTTCGTGGAGTGGGCATCGCAGCGTCCATTCTTTTTGAGGCTGGCTCCTCCACTCCGTGTTTCTGAGGTCCAGCCGTGCTGTTGCGTGCATCAGTGGCTCTTCATGTTTTTTGCTGAGCATTAGCCCAGTGTTTAAATATATCACATTTTGTGTATTCATTCTCCTATTACATGATATGCATTTTTATCTGAGCTTAATTTCTGGCTCTCTTCTATGTCCCTAGCATTTTTTTCTCTCCTTTTCCCCCTCATAATCTTCAAATGAATGTGTCAATCCGTTTTAGTTGATTTTCCTGGAATAGGGCAACCTCTGCATACATGGTTCTTTCTTCAGATGAGAAGTTTAATTTCTATTATCTTTGATTATTGCTTGTGTTCTACTTATTCTCTCTTCCCTTTGAGTACCCTGATCACGCATTCGTTGATAGTCCCTTCTCTGGTCCTCCACGACTACTTTCTTTTCTTTTCCTTAGTTTTCATTTCTCTATGCTTTTCCTCTGTATTGAGGGGTGGCTGTTCAACTTCTGGTCCTCTGCATCACTCATTTTCTGTAGCATCAGCTATGCCTTTTATTGCTGCCAGTGTGGACTTTAATTTTATATTTATGTTTTCATTTTTATTGAAATCCTCCTTAACTTTAAAAAATATTTCAATTCTTTTTATATTATTTTATACAAACACACACACACATATAGTTATTATCTTTTTAGCTGTTCATGTTATTCTGTTGTCTTTACACAGAGGTCATGTTTACTTATACTTTCTTGAGTATGCCAAACCATTTTCTGAACATTTATTTTGCGTCAGTAAGTAGAAATCATTCAGAAAGATTCCAAGAAAGAATTTCCCTCGTTCTAACATACTTTTTCACCAGTCCCATTTTGGGTTTTTTCTTTCTTCCTTCTTTATTATCCTTAGTCGAGTGAGCTCTGTGCAGACACAGATGGGTTGAAAGGGTTGTCCTTGTTCTTTTGTTCTATTTTTTAATTCTCTAATGCGACAATTTGGCCCTCTTTCTTAATCTTCAGCTGCAGGGAGACTGATGAGTGCATTTCCAGTGCAGCTCCCAGTTGTAGCAGACGTTGGCTCTATGTACCTGGGCTCTGTGGCAATTGCTTCTGCCTTCCACCCCTGCTGTTTCTATATTCTCAGGCAATGCAATTCCAGCACACAGCATCCCCGGTTCTTTCTCTTATCTCCCCTCTCTTCACACAGTGCTTCTCAGAAGGCCCTGGGCCATCATCTGCTCCCTGCACTTCCTGCCCCATTTTTTTTTTTTTTTTTTTAGGACTGTAGTGTCTGTCTGGTCATGAGAAGATAGAGACAGGTAGTGGGACAGTGATTGGGGTACACTGGGGAAACAACTTTCTACTTGATCTACCAGCAGCTTCTCAGCAATGCAGAAACCCTTCTGTGTAGGTTTTTGGTTGGTAAATTCTCTGGGTCTCTGAGTCAGTGGACAAATAGTGGAACCACAGCAAGTATCTTCTTTACTTTGTTCCCATAGCCACTACTGTGAAGTAAGGTTGAAGTAAGCCACAAGATAAAAACTGGTAGTTACCTGCCTTTCCCCCAGAACCTTCTGCTTTATAATTTGCGTCAATTCATTGAAGATTTGGAATGTAGGTTGTTTTTCAGCCTTAGTTCTTAACGAGATTGGAGGTTTTTTTTTCCTTTTTTTCCCAGCACCTTTGTTGATATTTAATGATAAGCTTGTAGGGGCAGTTCTCAGAGCTACTAGCCAAATATCATTTTGAGAATGTCTCCTGACCTTACATTTTAAGTGGTAATTTTAACTACTTGGGATTAACCATTGTATGTACCAATTGATTGACGTTAAAGTGATTAAATTTAATTGGACTACTTATTATTTGAAGAAAAACGTCTTCTAAATCTGTTGTTTTACAAATTATCGACTAGTTATTTCAGTACAACTAACATCCTTTTGAGGCTGGTGGGAGTCAAGATTCTAACGAACTGGAGATGCATGGGTCAACACTCAACATATCCAGAACTAATTTTTCTCATTAGAAATACCCCTACACTCCACTATCGAAGCCTGAAGACATGTGTTTTTGTTTGTGAGTTTCAATAGTCCGCATGTATTAGCTGACATATCTGACACATAGCTTCTCTTTTGCTGCATATTCATTCCCTTGTGTGTATAGCATGTGGAGCATGATCTTGAATCATTGTTAAAACTTTCATTTGGTCTATTTTCAAAAGTTGTTATCTGAATTATTGGCAAATGGCAGTTTTTGTGATGGGTAAAGTGGTGAACTCTCTTGAATGCTTCCCCAGAGGAGGTAAGATTGTCAGGTCTCACTTGTTCAAAGCTGTCAAAAATTCTGATATAAACCAAGGCCTGGTATAAACAGTTCTGATATAAACCAACATTGCATTTTAGCCCTTGTCTCCTGCAACTGTGGTTTGATGGTAATGTTTTGAATTGTCATATTTACCGATGGTTTCTTTCTTAGCTTCTTTTTATATTAAACTTAGTTAAAGGTATAACAGTGAACTGAGTTAAAGATCACTGGTCTTGTTAATGTGCTTTTAATAGCAATTCAAAACTAGTTTTGTTTTGTTTTTTAGCTTAATCCTGATTATCGAGATGCCCAAAATGAAGGAAAAAATGTGAGTAGAATTGTTTTTTCCCCAACAAATCCCAAATATAGTTGCTTATCTTTTATAATTGAAAATTTAATAGCTAACTAGAAGAGTAGGGTCTCTGAGGGAGATTCCGTGAGTAGAGGCTATGTATGGTTCAAAGATCAAAGATAAAGGATGATATGGCTTATAATATAAGAAGATGTTCAATAGAAGGGTGCTTAGGGAGATTTCTAGCAACTTGAAGGCCATTTATGGTAGAGCACTGGAGGCAGCTGGCATCTGGGAGATACTGTGGTTACAGGTTTAGTTTTTAGAAGTACACAGAAATTAGGAAGGAGAAATGGGATTATGGTGTGATATTAATATTAATATCAACAGGACACTGTGTTTGGAGTCAAAATAATTTGGGTTCTGTTTTTGTGGAGAAATTGAAGCATCGAGAAGCTAGATGACCGATTTTTCTGATATTCTAAAGTGTGCTACTTAAAAAACATCTTAATCTTATTTTAAAGCCAATTTTCCTGAAAATATTTATTATTATTTACCATGCTCATTTTATTATCATGTATAAAGAATATGACTTCATGGTGACAATATAACTTCTTTAGTCAATCAAAATTTCAGAAATGAAGGGCAATTTGATGTGATGCAGACAAACCTTTTCTGGTTGATGAAAGGTTTTTTTAAAAATTATTTTTGTTAGAATTTTAACCAGATATTTTGATGTAATATAGACACAGTCTTTAGTTCAATTTAGCAATCCCTTTTGAAATTGGTAGGTATTATTGCTGCAACATTCAATGTTCCAACTTTTAATGAGAAGAGTTGCAGTGTTTAATTAAAGTCTTTGCATTGGTATACAGCTTTATGTTTTATGAAGATATTGACATGAGGGAAGTGAGTCACGTCATAATTTCTGGACTTGATTCAGTCCTGCTTGACTCTCCTCTCCATCTGACTATGAGGCTTACAATAGAAATAAACCCGAGTATCAGGTCATTGGCCCAATGAAACCTTTAATTTGTGTCAGAATGGTCCTAAGCATAGAGGTATGTTTATTCAATCAATTGGATCTTATATTTAAAATTTAATTTTATCATCCTGGGTGGGCTCTTCTCCTGTTGTTTTTCAAATGGCTGCTCCAGGATTGTTGGGTTCTTATTTTCCTATGATTTAGGAAATTGCTATCAGTAACCAAGTTTAACAAGCTGATTATGAATCATGGCTTCTTTTGTTCTTACTAAAGGCTTGTCAGTGGTCTCCAGCCAGAGGCCACCAGGAACACACCTGTAGTTGAACAAGTCGGGTTTATTACTCATGGCTGCAAGAAAGCACACACACTATGGGGAAATGTGGGGCATCTCAGTAAGAGCATGTTAGGAAGAACTTATTATGGGATTTGGGCTGGTGAAAGATGATTTGGGGAAGGATTTCAGGAAGTGGGACTTTGCTGTGGATAGGAATGCTGATGAGTATCTTAATAAAATTTACCTGTAGGGCAGACAGGCTAAAGTTGTAATTGCTAAAGAAGCTGGTCACTCATAACAGCTGGGGGAGAGGGATATTTAGTCATTTTTGTACCTTGGACAATATTCATATTTTGTTTGTGTTCAGACATGATTAGGGAGTAGTCTTGTTTTGTCTTCATTCATCACAGTCAGAGTGGCCTTGTCTGATGTTGATGTTCTGTGAAATTGTTCATGTTCAACAGAGAACACCAGGGTCTAGCTGAGAGCACCAGGCCACCTGATGGATGTCGGAGTCTGCTTTTCTCTTTCTCAAAACTTATTTTTATAATATTCCCTGTGACTTCTTCAGCATGGTGTACGGCCAAAAGAGCTCTACTTCTAGCACCACTATGAACTTATGTGGCCTTGGTCAAGTCAGATAGCTTTCTTGAGACTCAGTTTCCTCACCTATATAATGGGGTGAAGAAGTTTGCCCTACATACCTCCCCTGCATGCCATGAGGATAAAATAAGATCAGACAAATGGAAACTCTTTGAATAAAAGATGTTAGTAGGCTAAAAATTTAAGTCGTTTCTATGAAAAGAGCATCATATCAAATCTTCAAATTGTGCAATTGAATTAAATTTCTGTGCTCTTCTCATTTCTGCTACATAATATTTGGTGATGCTACTGATGGTTCTGGGCAGAGCAGAGTAGGAGAATGAAGTGGGAGTATGAAGGTTTACAGAGAGCAGCACAGAAAATATAAGTAAGTAATAAATCCATGGCGAAGTTCACTCTTTGTGCTAATCAGGCTTTTAGTTAGACTTGATAGTTTTTTTCCTTTTTTTTTCTTTTTTTTGGTGGCTGGTGAGTATGACTTTTTCCGTTTTTATTTCAAAACACAATTTCTTTGCTCACCTCTAAAGATGAGGAAGAATGCTCTTTTGGTTAAGCAGTTTTCACGAGCAGTACTTTAACTGCACACAGTGCAGGTGGGTCTGCTTTTGCTGTAGAAGTTTATGATTGGATCTCATCTGTCATCTCAGAAAGACATCCAGCTAAATGGAGATATTTGATTTAATTTTTTTCCTCTCCAGGATCCCTAGCTTGAGAGTAAACAAAACAGAGAATATGGAACTATAAAGCTGACAATATGGCTTCTCATTTTATAAACCATTTGCCACATAACAATAATCACGTTTCTGTCTAAAGATGAAAACAGAGTTTTCTGTCAGAGTTTTCATTAGAGTTTATCTCCAGCTTGTGAAATATGCAATCAATTTCCCAGACAATGCTGTTTCATCTCAGATCTGGGTTCCAGTAACACTGAGTTCACTGTAACCATGCTGATTTTTTCTCTCTTAATTTATGTTGTCTATTTAATGCTCAGTTAATATTTTTTTCCTGTAATTTAGAGACCTTTATCAAAATGTTGCCTTCTAGTTTTGAGGTTTCAAAGGTTAATGCATGGTGCCACTGAAATGAGACAGAGTGTGTCAGAGCACCCATTAAGACACAAATTGCTGTATTTATTCTACAAAGGAGTCTATTATTTCCAATCTTACAAATGTACAGCATCCACAGGGACCCTGTAAACATTGGAACTGCGTCAAGCCCAGCTGGGAACCTGCCAGTCATTAGTTTCTTCTCCTTGAAAGGCTGCATCTTTTCAAATGATTCTTTGAAGAGGAATTTTTGGAATAACACCATCCATCTTAACGTTATCATTTCTATGTGGAATATGACCCGGTTTTTTGAGGAGTGTCTTTTGTCTATGCTGAGATTTCTCAACCTCAGCAATTTTGACATATTGGGGCAAATAATTCTTTGTGGTGTGGGGCTGTCTTTTGCATTGTAGGATGTTTAGCAGAATCCGTGGCCTCTATTCACTAGCTGCCAGTAGCACTCCCCTCTCCCCCTAATCGTGGCAATGAAAAGTGTGTCCAGAAATTGCCAAATGCCCCCTGGGGAGCAAAATTTCCTGCTGTGGAGAACCACTAGCCTATGTGCATTTACATACATAAACCTCTAGCCTATGTGCATATACATATGTACACGAAAACTTTGCTGAAATGTATTTGAAAATTCTATTCTGTAGAATTTGGGGAGGGGAGGTGCCAGACTCTGAAAGACCCCCAAAATTCCTTGAGTACCAGATTCTGACAGAATACCTCCACATATCCTTGGGTTTTAGTATATATTCATCTGTGGTAAAGAAACCAGGAGAAGAAAGAAAATGGGTCCTTTTAAGAATTCTTCTGATACTAACAGCTTGTTAAGGAACCCTGGCGAGAGAACAGGCGCTTGCAGCTTTAAGTGGCAGTGCTGTGTGTGGTTACATAAAGTCAGCCACGAGAGGATGTGAGCACAAACCCAGATGCGGCACATCATTATGCTGCGGTGGCCGCACGCAGGTCTGAATCAGTTCCGAAAACGCAGACGTTGTTCCTGACAGAATGTCTCTGGCTTCCAGCAACAGAATTGCAACGTAATGTCTCTGCTAAAAATTTGATGACTCACAAGAGTCAACAGAGGAGGTGTTCTTGGGGGCTAACGGCTGTGCCGCCACCTGCAGGCCCCAGGATCGCAGGAGAAGCGAGCAGAGCCCTGAGTTTACCCTGCTGACTTTTCAGAAGGGATTTTCTCCTTGTAGCACCCGAGAGGCTCTGTGCCTTTCCTTCTGAGTGGAAAAATGCTACTTTGCTGACAGCGCCATAGACTAGGTTAACATTCCGAGGCCCTGCATTACTCTAAGTGGAGCGAGTTTCAGAGAGCGAGCTGATGTTAAATTTAATACCTGTTTAAGCTCTGTTGTATCTTAACGTATTTTTATGATGCACGAAGGAAGGCATTGTGCTTCTGTAATTCTGTGTGGGTGAGTTGTGTTTCTCTGTCTTTTTTCTTACTTAAAAATCGATATGGGTTTATCAACAAAAGCCACAAGCACACAATTTCAAACAGAATTGTTTTCATGTTATAAAGATATAATATTGACTTCTATATTGAAACTTGATTCATACATTAAAAATTGTATGCTTATAATTCCTCATAATTCCTCATTCAGATTGCATTAGTTAAAAATTCCAAGGGGCTGGCTTGAGGTTTACTGTCAAATTATTTATGAAGGAGAGTCTGTAAAGCATATTAACAGTATAAGAAATTAAAAGTAGAATGCTTAAGACTACAGCACTGTTCTAAAAAACTACTTCTAAACATTTTAGAAGCTCTTATTCACACATAAATCTTTGTTATATTATTTATAAATGAAACTGTTCTGTTCATTAAAGCTGTTTTCCAAGAACCTAAGTGAACTCTTTAAGGGTAGAATAGTACATTCCACTTATCCTATGTAATTAAAATGAAACCACAAGCCTAAATAGTATGAGTAATTCAGAGTGACCACTTTTAATTAACGCTAATTAGTGAGTTTTTTTTCTGTGTCTGGAAAAGATTCTCATTGTTGCGGTATGTGTCAAAACAGAAAGGCCCCTGGCTGCTCTTATTGGGCCCTTACAGGGAGACATTACTGAGGAGGGTGGGTTAGGGGAGCCGTCTCTAGGAACCTGGATTTGATCTTTTTTTATA